CCAAAAGAGAAAAACAAAAAGAACAAAAGAAGTGTAAAAAATAGGAAAGTACAAAATCATGATTAATCTAGGAGATCTAGTAGCTGAACAATTAAATTTCAAGATAAAAAGAGGACAGAAATGGAAGGGAAATAAAAACATTTCGTGAATGCAAGAAAACCTTGCAGAACTAGCGGACGATGCCTGCAGGACGCAAAGGTCCGGGGAAGGCCCAGCACAACGGGTCGAAGGCCCGCTCTGAGGACCACCAACGAGACTTCAGACACCGAAACAAAGGATGTTCTGAAAGTTTTCAGAGAGGATAAAGCTGGCTTACATACAAAATAGCAAGGATCAGAAGGTCATGACCATGAGAGAAACAAAAGCAACAGAGATAAACTTTCTAAAGAATCAGTGAAACACGACTTCAAGTTTCCTAGAAAAACAATCCGCCAACCCGTACTTACCCAGGTACAAAGCGGACGTGTGGCGTCCCCGACACAAGGGAGCGCTCCTTTTCTTTTCCTTCACAAGATTGTGCAAGAGGACGTCTTAGAAACAAGTATAAATCACGAGGGGTTAGACACGAATTCTACCAAATAGGAATCTACCGCAAGGAAGCAGGACAGAGGATCCTACGAGGCCAGCCGAGGCAGCCCCGGAGACGGTCCCCCGTGCAAGCACCGAGGAGACAACCGGGCACGATCGCTGCCCCTGCGAGCCGGGAGCCCCGGGGCTGCGCACCCGCCCGGCAGGCAGGACACCTCCTGTGCACCGTGCCCCCGTGCCCCCGGGGCTGCGCACCTGCCCGGCAGGCAGGACACTTCCGGTGCACCGTGCCCCCGTGCCCCCAGGGCTGCGCACCCGCCCGGCAGGCAGGACACTTCCGGTGCACTGTGCCCCCCCCCCGTACCCCCGGGGCTGCGCACCCGCCCGGCAGGCAGGACACCTCCTGTGCACCGTGCCCCCGTGCCCCCGGGGCTGCGCACCCGCCCGGCAGGCAGGACACTTCCGGTGCACCGTGCCCCCGCGCCCCCGGGGCTGCGCACCCGCCCGGCAGGCAGGACACTTCCAGTGCACCGTGCCCCCGCGCCCCCGGGGCTACGGCTGCCTCTGCCCCCGTGTGCTGCTCTGTAACGCACCTTGTAGCTCTGGCCCCACTCCGCGCTTCTCGGCATCACTGCCCTACCCAAGCCCTTACGACCCAGCCCACGTTCTGCGCCTGCCTCTGGGCACCCACCTGATGGGCACAGCCAATCCAGAGCACTGCTCTGCCAGCAGCTGTTGGCGATGAACACCCGGCACGTGCAAACGTATTGTAAGAG